AGCAAGTCCACTGAGACACATGTTTATAGTCCAAGAAGAGCAAACATACTTTTATTCATCTTCTAACCCTGTCCAATTCTACTCGTATAAAATTAGGGCCTTAGTTTCATTTTGTCATTTCATATTTACTTCCCTTTTCCTTCAAAGAACTCAAAAGGGCAGATATTTATGGCTACTTAAATATCAGTTGTGTCCAATTATCTGGGGAAAAGAAGTACAATACCTATACATTCTCCCTCTTGGCAATCAGAGTTATGAGATCCTTTCTTTGATTCCTAATTTGTTCACTTGAATATAAGCACACAGGTGTCTTACATAGGTTCTGAGACCAGCCAGTCCACCAGAATGTGACAAGCACCTATCTAATGATAAGACAGTCAACTGCCTCCACCAGAATTTCATTTTTACAGGAAGACAAATGAATTAATTTATAAGTCTTCTGTAAAGTTGTAAGAATAAATATATATGCTATAACAGGATTTACACTGTTAACCTATAACATATTAGAGATGTGAGAGAACATAAAGATGAGTGCAAGTTTAAAATATATTAAAAATATTCCCAGTAACAATGGGAAATCTCACAAAACTGAAGACATAGAAACATTAATACAAGTAAGATACCATCAGCATACAAATCTGATTTGGTACTGTAAAGTGGTGATTTGTGACTAACCAAAATTCATTTGAGGGAACCCAGCATTTTGTTAAGCTGAAGGCTTCATTAAATTTGATGTTGCCAATACAGATGACTGTTAAGGTTTTCAAAAAATCTGGTAACTCAACTTCAAAGTAAGTATTAGTTCCTCACAGCCTAAAACGGTCTCAAAACTACCCTATAAAAGGTATTAGCCCTAATACATGGGAATCTTCCTTACAGAATGATTTGAAGGTTACAGAAGTTGGGGGCTTGACTCGATGATCTTCCGAGGTCCCTTCCAGCCTTAATGTCTGTGAAATCGATGAAAGTTTATCATGGGATCTACCAAATCCAATCTATACAAAAGTAGGTAGGTTAGTATTAAGCCTCAACTTTGACTCAGAAGGTCTAACAGAATTACATTTGCACTTACGGACTACTTCAAATAAGGCTGGGGAAAAAAAGTCAGCTGAGCTGTATCGAAGACTGAAATATTAAAAAGTAACAGCCTTATTAAAATCTTCTATTCAGACACAGAGATCACCATCTGCATACTCCACAGTGGTTAATATTCATAATGGATAATGGTTATTAAAAGAATTAGTAAAAGCATGAGGAAATTTCATCACAGAGAGAAGTACGAACTTATCTAGACAGAATAAAGATTTAATTCCCTCCTTCCTCCCTCCACCCCCAAAGAAAGGAAGGGCCACGTCAAAAAGTTAAGAGTCAAAAATACAATAAGGATTTCATACCTCTAGTCACGCTTCCTCATTTTAAATAAAGGAAGATGCAAAAATATTGCATGAAGAAGTCATAAGACAACAAACTCATGCGTTTCCAAGCCAGAACAACTGACTTCACCTCACCAGAAGATAAACAAAAGCAATGACTACGGCAGTTCCTTGCTATCATGCCTCATCTACATGTAGCAATATGCTATATGTTGAACAGGGGTATGCAACCCCCAGGCTAACCCGCACCACTCATTAGGTCTCAACTTTGAGTGGTCGCACCACACATTTGGCTCATGGGCCCAGAAAGTTGAGCACCACTGCTACAGAAAGCAGTTTAGTGGTCCTAGCTCAAAGCTGACTTACTCTTAGCTATCAGTTATACGGTCCCAAAGACAAAGGATCCAATACATACCTTTCCACACAATAGTAATCCACCTTCAGGTATCTCAGAAGCAAACTTTAAATTTACTGAGGATACTGTCAGCAAAATCTACCAAGATTTGCCAAGTAATCAATATTAACTCTAACAATATTCATAATTTTTTTAATTACCTAATCTTTACTGGAAGCCATCCAGGAACAAGTGTCAGTTGCACTTGCATAATTAAACTATCTTCATATAAAAACCACAATCAGAGGTTCACCGTTCATGTTCCAACCATATAAAAATGGGAAATATTGTTACAACACCATAATCATAAATCTTTAATGCAAAAATAACGATAATCTTTTTCTTATAAAGCCCATATTCAGTCTTCCTTGGCATCAATAGATTCAATGGTATTAAAAGGATCACAACATTAAGCTCTGCTTAATTAAGACAAGGGTCAATTTACAAGCAACGAAGTTTAGATTAGACAATGGTTTCTTAAACATATAATGCAGGCCACTTTAACTGTGGAGAAGAGTTCACTCCACAAGTGCCAAGTTTTTCATAATACAAAATATATTTATTACAATTGGCTAATACAAACAACTAGTTTCAATGACTCAAGAATAAAAGTTTACAGAAAGGCAAATGCTGAAGTGCAGTTGCTGGTAGTGAGTTGGTGATAGGCATTTTAGTTTTACTACAATATACCCCTCTGTTTTAAGCACACTTGAAATAACTTCCAGTCTGGTTTATTTCCATCAAATACAGTACATTTATCCAAACAAGAGTGTGTACATTCAATATAAAACATTTCCAGCAACAGTTACAGTCTTGTTCCCATTCACAGTATTTTCTTAGTGCAAAGCACTAAAAGGGCCAAATATTTCTCTCCATAAAACATTTTTACTCATGATCTTGTGATCAATATTTTTAGATATATTTTATACAAAAAAGTATATATGACAAAGGCCCCTCCCTAAATAAGGAAGTGAACCTGTATTAAAAACCATGGTATTTTTTCTGATGTACCTTTCAAATTGTGGCATGTGACAAATCACTAAACAAAATATTCTCTAAAAAGTAAAAAAAAAATGCACAGAATCCTGCAAACAGCTTCAGGGCGGCAGGTGTGCTATTCTTTTACTAAAATCTTGATTATAAAATAGACAAAAAGATCAGTAAGAATTTTGCAAATTCTATCAAGTGAAGTGCTACCTAAAGTGGTAATTTACGGTCTTGAGAGAAAAAATATTCTGGGTTTCTCCCTCGCTATCCTTCCTTTTATTAATATTTAATGGAATAAAACTAACATTATAAGAAGTGGTTGTGCATGGATTGTCTGTCTATAAAACATCAGCAAATATTCACTACCTTCATATTAACATTAGTGTGTTGATCTTTCAAAACAAAAATTGAAAAATTAACTGCAACTATCATTAAAGTGCTTGTGTATAATTTTTTTAAAAAAATTAAAGAATAGGGGAATGTGGGTGTTTTTGTAAACTTCCTTAAATGTAAAGCAAAGGAAGGTTGTCCTATGAACCATGTACGAAGAACACATTGGAGATCTCTGCAGCAATTTTAGAACAGTGAAATTCAGTATGCCCAAAATGTGGGAAATTAGTCAAAATGAACAAACTGAAGTTATGGCAAATACTAAAAATTAGTACAATTTAGCCAATACACACTACACTGTTTGTTCTTATACATTCATTTGTAATAAATTTAAAACAGAACATAAACACAAAATAAAACTTTCCCAATACAGTGAATGTCACAGAGTTACAGAATTGGCTTATCAGAAAAAGCAGTATTAGGGCCAATATATCTATGGTGAGCTCTCTCAAGTTGATTTGTTTAATAAGCTTTCCTCCAAGAACACTATTTTTTTCTTTAAAGTACAGAATGTTCATTTTCTATTGTGTCAAAACTTCTGAACTGCATAGAGACAAGTGTAATTAACTACTAGTCTACAGGCACATGTTATGCATTGCAACTCAGCTACCTGAATGTGTTTGGGAGAAGACATTGCCAATCTGGCTGCTAACAAGCAATCAGAATAGTTATTAATTTATCAAGAAAAGAATAGTTTATTAAAATATTTCCTTATTTTTCTTATAGTATCATTATCAAGACATTAGTGGTTCTAACACCAAATTAAAGTCTTTCCACTCAAATAAACTCCAAACTTTCCATACAGCACTGAAGTCATCCGAGAAGAAATGGGAATAAATTAATATTCTGAGTTTACCAATACAACTTCAGTTTACAAGTTACACAACACAAGTAACTTAAATGCAAGGTAGCACTTCAAACTTCATCACCAAAGAAGGGAAAGCTTCTCTTCCCTCCCCACCCTCCCCCAACAAACTTACTGTAATTTTTTGAGCCAGGCCAGCTCAGTTTTAAGTTGCATTTCCTTTCATTCCGACTGGTTATCAAACCAATGAATCTACCCTCCCACCCCCAACATGTATCCTGCAGAAGCTGAGCCCATATCTAGTTGCTTTCAGGAAGAGAGCACTTCAAAGCTGAAGTACAGGACAAGGTACATGTACCTAGTTTTCTTTTCACATAACACATTATAAGGACATCTCTCTAAAGGAGAAATTTAACCCTTTACCAATGTCTATTTTTATTACAAGAAATGCCCCCTCAAAAATCTAAAATGGCCATTTATAGATTATAGATCATTTCCTTTAATAAAAGGAAAGATCATTTTAAAAAATAAAGACTACCTTTAATACCATTTGTCCTATAGAACAAGGCTATGGAAAAACCAGTAAATCACCCTTTTAAAGAAACCAAATTTAGGGCCAGAACCTGGCAGTTCTTGCACAGAGAAGTTCAGAAAGACTCTCAGGATTGGGCCCTAAACCTTCATACTGGCAAGGTATGGGGAATATTTTCCAGCAAATTAAAACGGAGGAGGAAAACAAAGTCTTCCCTGGATGATCATTCTAAATTATATGCAGAGCTTTAAACTGTCATAATTCCTTTTTTTTTACAAAAGCTATAACAAATACCTTAATATTTTGTAAGTAGCCTAAACAAAGATGTTCATTAGCAGGACAAAACACTTGAAATGAACAAGTTCAAAGCTAATTTTAAATTTAAGATGCCTAGAGTAAACATAAGCCAATATAAATTCTTTTTTATAATATTAAAAGTTTAGAAAAGCTGGCTCTGTGCAGTCTAATCGTTTTATCTTGCAACTCCCTGCAGAAGACAAATTTAGAAATGAACTCATCTCCAAGCCACTGAAAACAAATTTTACTCAAGAGGCAAATGTGATACGCACATTACTCTTTCATCTCCTACACCATCGGGTCTATAGGAAAGTACATGTTCAGGCAACAAAGCAACAATAGCAGATTTGGGGTTGGTTTGTTTTTTGTTTTGTGTCTTTTAAAAGGCAAAACACTAGCTGTTCCTCACCAGACAAGAGCTTTAGATCTTGTACTTCTGCCTTTGGTTTTGTTTTCTTCAGATGAATGAGATGCATTTGCCTTGTGGGTTTTTTTATGATGTTCTAGAAAAGTCTTTCTGGCAAATGCTTTTCCACATTTATTGCATCTGTGAAGAGAAAAGTTTTTTGTCACTTTTACTTCAATGCCAACATCAGCTCCTTCATATTTTTTACTGGGCGAATTAGAGGTGACATCCTGTTTTGAACCAATCTGCTTTGCTTCATCCCTCTGAGGGCCTCTTTTTGTCACCTTATTTAGAACACAATCAATGGGCTTTTTTATTGCTCTGACTTCTAAACTTGCAGTTATTTTCCCAAGGTAACGTGATGACTTTTTATGAACCACTGTTATATGCCTTATCACATCACGCTTGCGACGTGTTTCGTAAGTGCAGAGTGGACACCTGTAGAATTTAACATAAATGTTATTTCCATCTGTGTGCAACTCAATGTGTTTTGTCAAATTCTGTTTAGAAGTAAATTGGCGTTTACAGAGTTTACAGTAAAGCTGCTTGAAATCAAAGCCAGCTGAAAGTTTTGGCTTCCTGGATTTTTGCTTGCCACCTGCAGCAGATGGATTGGTTGATTTAGGGCTTTCAGTGTCTTGTTTAACTTTATTTTTCAGTGCTGACGGTGTGCTCTTTTTCTCATTTGAATGATTTGTTCCCTTTAATTCATTCTGCGGAGAAAGGATGATGGACGGGGGTGAAGATTCTACAAAGTCTGCTGGTTCAACTTTTACTTTTACTTTTATTTCTGTGCCATTAGCAGTATTATTAGGTCCTTTATCTCTTTTAGAGTTCTTTCCAGAAAGAGTTATCTTGTGAACAATTTGCATATGCCTTTTAAGCATTATTTGTGAACTATATTTTCTCTTGCACAGAAGGCATTTGCATGCAGTTAAATTGTATTCAGCCTTTGAAGACGACTTTTGTTTTTGGGTCTTAAAAGATTTTTTAGCAGAAACTGTATCCAAGAACAAAGGTTGCCCAGGTTTTGTAGCTATATCAGGAGTAATGGAATCCCTTCTTAATCCTCTATGAACTTCATCAAAATGCCGCCTTACATTGGCTTTTGTAGCAAATGATTTATAGCATACCGGACAACTCCTACCTAATGTTATAAGAACATTCTTATTTCGGCCTTTTGTAGAGCATTGGTTTGGTTTCTTTTTTGTTTCTATGTACTTCTTTAGTTCTTCCATCTTTTTTTTATGCACTTTTCTAATGTGCCGACGTACGCTACGTCTGGAATGAAACTCCTTTCTACAAAGACAACAAATCAATTGCTGGCCAAAATCAGAATTTTCAGAAGAGTCCAATTCAGTATTTAATGGTGGAGGTTGTTCTTCAGGAGTAGGTATCACCTTGTTTATAACAGTTTCAGCAGGAGGTAAATCTAAATTTTCTGTATCTGGAACTGAAACAGTTTGGGGCTGTTCAGTGCTAGGCTCCTGTGTTTGTACTGGAGTTTGATCAGGGGTACTGCTAATCTCAGTATTCTCATCTGGGCAGTCGGTCCTTGAAACAATTTGAAATACAGCATTCCGATTTGTTTCTATTGGTTCTAGTGTAATTACATATTCTTGCTTGTCCACTCTTGGATAGATGGCTTCCAGGAGATCATGTATGGCTTGGCTTTGTTTATCATTTATATCTGGGAGGTCTAGTAAAAAAAAGGAAGAAATAAAGGTTATTTTTTTTTTAAAAGACAGGGTAATTCTATTTCTATTTGTCTGCCTTGAATATGGGCTTAACCATTTTATTATGCACCCAAAAATAGGTTTTACAGTAAAATTCATGTTTCCATATATGGTAACTGATAAATTAACAGCCAGCCTACCCCAAGGAATCTTGTTTAATTCACAAATAGACCCATCACTCTTCCATTTCCAGTGATTAATTGCCTTTGAATAAATCAGAGATCATTTCATTGCCTCAGAAAAGGTACCCTTATTTTACATATGTTTTACATGCATTTCCATATGGATCCTTTGGGTACATTAAAATTTAGTCATGTAGTTTAAAATTTATACTGTTAAAATTTATTTTAAATAAAGGCAGCAAGTTATCTATGAACCAGAAACAAAAATAACAGGATTCAATAATTAGATTCTATACATGGAAAATGTATAAATTTGATATAATTTACCAGGTACAGAGTCTGCCAAGTACAGAGTATTGGAGGTCTGCCCACTCCCACTGCTATAGTAGGGAAAATAAATCTGCTGTTAGGGAGCCCCTTTGCCCTCTGAGCCTCCACCAACTTCTTCTCCTTGCAGTCCCTTCCTCCCCTCCTTATAGTCTGACCCTGCTAGCTCCGAGTATATGGAAGAGAGACGCAAACTTAAAAACACCTGAAATAAACATAACTTGCCTATATGCAAGTTACTACAGGTATGCATAGACTTGGTTCATCCAGAATTGATGCATTTTGCTTTTGGAAACTGCTGCAAGTTTTTGCACAGGTATACTCCTTATATGTACTTTTAAGGAGTACTTTTGTACCTACTTTTATATAATACTTTTTTATTTTGTGTCTCAGGCCAAATTAACCAAATAAGTTCTGAATTCTATCAAATGAGCAGAGCTCAATTGCTCAAGTCCATGTGGCACTACCACTAGCAAGTATCCTCCCTTCCAGACTCTTTAGCCTGGGGCTTCAGATACTCCCAAATCCAAGACAGGCATCCTACATGGAGACCCCAAGTCCGCAGGTCTTGAAGTTCAGATGCCCCCAAATCTCACTTGCTCTTAGGCAAAAGGTAAAGGTGCAAGCTAGGGAGAAATCCCCCATCTCCATAAAAATAAAGTATATAGGTAAGATCCTGTCACTGGGATGCTATAGTAGGCTCTCATGTGGGGGGCCTGCCTGCTTGCAATGGACAAGTCTCCACCCTTAACTACACAATGCCATTCAAGGTGATCTTGGCTCACAAGAGGTTGAGATCCTATGTGCAAGCCCCTGTATATGGACTACACTTGACAGCTTGCTCCTGGGGCCATTGGCTGAGGACAAGTGAGATATGGGAGCATCTGAATGGGCCTGCATGAAGGATGCCTGTCGATGAATTTGGAAGGATCTGAAGCCCCAGGCTGAAAAGTCTGGGATGGAGGATACTTGCTGGTTGAAGAGCCCCATATGGTGTTTGAATAATTAAGTTTTATTCAGTCAAAAGGATTTGGAACTGATCTGGCTAATTTGACCTGGAACATGAAAAAATAAAAAAAATAAAAAAATTATATTAAAAAAAGAAAAAGACAAAGCATGATATTAATCCAAAACTAAAAGGCTCTGGATTTGCCACAGAATTCATTGGGCTGGGCCCCAGCAGAGTCAACAATGTTTCAAGCCATGGTAACTCTAGAGCTCAGCACTGTTTGGTATGCATGTATACTCCAGACACCCCCACAGAGGAGCCAGGTGCTAATTAGCCCCCCATTCATGACTGGAACCAGGTGTTCTTGTCACAAGTCCTGGGACTCTCCAAATACTTATATGCAATATAAGCATGAGGCAACCTGCTCCTGCTCCACCTCATGGAGGGTGGGCCTACACTAGTCATACACAACAGGCCAAGAGGGGGCAACAGAGAGATTCTGAGTGAAGAGTCTGGGGCCCTGTTTGGAGATGTTTGTCAGATATTTAAGGCTGGTGAAGACACAGGAATTAGTGGACATGGGAAATAAAGGTGCAGTTCAACTGTGGGCCAGTAGTGGAAGTAGAAATATATTCAGTGTGGTGGCTCCCCAACAACTGAAAACAAGTTAGTGCTAAGAGGGACTGCCCGCAATGGGCACTACCATATATGTTATTCAGATAGACTGGGCTAACCTATGCTTGTGGTAGGTTCCTATGAGATGTTTGCCCATTATTGGCCATGTGTCTTATAGTTATGCTTAGTGTGGGCTGCATTTAATCAGCTTCATTAATGGTTTCCATTACTGAGCACATGCTGCTTTTCGTAGGAGTCTAATGATAGACAGTATATTTAATGTGGTTTGCTTGTTTGCAAATATAAGAGATGGGGCTTCTTCCAACATGCTGATGGGGTGAGGGGATGGGGAAGGAGGGGACTCCTCCTATATTAGAGTAAATACAGTATTATACTTGACCTTACTCTTCAAGACCAATATGCAGCTCAGTGGTTTTGCAGCCTATTAAGACTTGAGAGACTCCCTCATTAGACTCAAGACATCCCTCATAAAATGCTAGTTTTTATTCGTTTTTTGACTACAAAAAGTAACATAGCATTTTGCAAAGAATGCATCAGGTTAGAACATTTTTAACATCATGGATTCCTATTTGAAATCTCTGGGTTTATCTCATGAATTGTGTTAGCACACCTAACAGTACTAACATTGAGTGGTACCTCGGGGCACCCTTGAAGCAATCTCAAGGCACCCCAGGGTGCTGCGACACCCTGGTTAAGTATCAGTCATCTAGTTTACAGTAGTATCATAAGGAGACTAGCAGCATGGTATTTTCTATGAAGGACCCCAATGTCTAAACTTTTCCCCCTAGAGCTCAGATTAACTGATCTTTAGGACACACTGCAAGGCCTACATAACCCCAAATTTCCCATAAGGAAATAAATTAATAGGTTATGCATATAAAAGAAGAATGTCTCCATCCCCGCCGTCACAGCGGCACTCTGTGGCACCACCACCTCCTGTCCATAACACTCTTGGAGCACTCCGATTGGTTGTTTCAGTAACCAATCAGAGTTCTCCCGGAGTGTTACGGACAGACAAAGCCCTTTATTATGTTAGAATACCTTGCAATGGAGAGCTCAAGGAAGGAAGAGAATCAGGTGTTTTAAATATCTGTTCCATTTCTGTGGCCACAGATAAAACAAGACAATCATTGTCTCCAACCCCCAACCACCACTACCAACCCAGTGCCAAATGAGATGTGTTAGAAATTGAACATCTAAACCAACTACTTCAAATGCTATTAATGAAAAACTCCTGGTTAAGTTACTCATAGGAACACAACACTGGTAGAAGCCTCACAGACTACCAAGACAGTCTCTTGGGTTTGTAGAAAACCATTTGTCCAACCGGTCCACAAAAATGTTTACCTATCCTCTCCTATATACCACAGCCACGAAGCACCAGATGTTTAAAAAGAGCCCCATAATGAGGCACAAGACATAAGCAGGATAGACACAAATACACCAACAATTCTTCCTGACACTAAATCAGGTGAGTACCTAAAAACACCATTCTGAGTACCTGAATAAGACCCAGAGGCCACTGAAAAATTGAGAAATATCTTAGTACTATTTAGGAACACACCAGGTACCCCATTCAATGTCAAGTGTTTCACAGAAATTTGGAGTGGGGGAACCAAACCCAAACCAATCAATAGTTTTTTCCCCCCTAAAAGCTACTACCAAATCCTTGATATAAAATAATTAGTGCATGTTTTATCTTGAAATGTTATTTCTTCTCAAGTAATATATCAATCAAGGAAGGATAAGGGACTACTGAAGTGAAAGGACAATGCTGATAAAGGAAAACTAAGTACTGTACAACCTGGCCTGGAATAAGTTTAGGCTAGAAGTTAGAATAAGTTATCCAACAGAGCAGTGAGGGTCTGAAACAGCCTTCCAGGAGGTGGCTGGGGGGGGGGGGGG